TGCCACTGTGCATTGAAAAACTTATAGACCTAACTCTGCCACTGTGCATTGAAAAACTTATAGACCTAACTCTGCCACTGTGCATTGAAAAACTTATAGACCTAACTCTGCCACTGTGCATTGAAAAACTTATAGACCACGAGTCTGCAACCTTTACAATCATCAAAGCCATTTCCTCTCCTTGGCTCACTATTAAAACATGTCCGGAGCTGCTAAATGTGCTACAATAGTGATTATCAACTGGTGGCTCGTGGGTCACTGAGTTTGATGAATTGAGGGGATTTTCCAGGCTGGGATTATAAAATGAAAAATATACAGTGAATTTTAACACATTTCTATTTTTACAATTATGGATAAAATAAAATATTATATTCATGTAAACAAAAAACAATATAGTTTCTATTACATTTAATAAAAACTAAAACATTAAGCTGTGCAGACATGTGTATGCTTTTTCTTCATTTTTGTTATTATCTTAACAACTCACCATTTCTTCTTAGCAACTTATGTTATAGGTATTCAAAAAAACATGATGGATTTGAGAGAAAAATCATAATGTAAGGCTGTAAGTTGGGTTATTGAAGTGATAAACTTCTAGCATGATCAGATCATGTTTGTTTTGTTTATTTACATGTTTTACTCCTTGTATTATTAAAAAAACAAATGTAGTGAATTTACTTAAAGAAATTATATCAACTTTTTCCACTCAACTGATTTGAATAGGTAACATATTTACTTTATATTTACTTTAAGTATGTGTAAAGTAAATGTTACTCAGTTCAGTTGAGTGGAACCAGTTGACATACATTATTGTTTTTAAGTAAATTCACTACATCTGTTTTTTGAGTGTTTTTATCACTGATTTGCAAACATTACAGAAAAACTGCTAAAGCTAGTCTTTTCTGCTGTGGGTCAAAACAACAACAACAACAACAACAACAACAACAACAACAACAACAACAGAAAATAAGTCAATTTTGTCAAAAAATCTGTCAATTTTGGTCAACACTTTAATGAGCTGCGCAGAGGAACCAAAGAGCCACAGGTGGCCCGAGAGCCACACGTTGCAGACCCTTGCTATRGACTTTCAATAACCAAACTCACCAACAGGTAAATTAAGCTGAACTGGAAACATGGTTGTGTAATAATTAGCACAAATAATTAAATGTCTTACTGTCTTTGAACAAAAGGAAGCACAGTGGTAGAGGTAAAGCTTCAATCTGTCTGCTAACTGGGAACATACGATAGATGGTTCTGTAGGATTTGATGAGCTCTGGAGGTTTTAAAGTCACAAACCAGCTGACTATAAGCAACACAAACTGAGTTGGTGCAGCTACTCTGCACTTTGAGCTTTACAAAATGATATGAAGCAAAATTTCATAACAAAAAATTATTTTTTGGGAATGTATGTGACCATCACTACTGTTCCTTGAGGCTTGATAGTTGTGTACAAATAACAACATATAGGATGAATTAGCAGATTATTGAAGTAAACAATGTAAAAGCCAGAAATTCAAAGAGAAACAGGAGAACTTTGTTTTATACACAATATACTGTCCACCCTGTTGTAAATATGGTCTTTGAGCCTCCTTTCAGAATGTTTTGGAAAATAAGAAATTGCTGCAATGATGCTGTAACTGGCGCAGTGATGGCTGTGGACACCCCCTTTTCATCAAGATATTTCAATATATTTTAATTTACCACTCCATTTCGACCCGTTGCTTCTGATTTTTACTTCAATTACTGTGTATGTTGGCAGTCCTGAACATTTCCTCCTCTTTGCCCTTAAAAACCACCATCTTCTTATGAGCTTTGGCAAACAGTAAATGCATTAACTCGAAGGCCAGGTATGTCCCTCGGGTCTCATTTTATTTATTATTTTTTTCTTGTTTTCCAAAGACGTGACTTTAGAAGTGCCTCCTATGTGTTATAGACTTTTGTCGGCCTTCTATTTTTTGTATGTCCTTCACTTGTCCAATTTCTTTTCATTCCTTTATGAACCAACAGTCCAAGACTTTATTTAATTACGCTTTTATTTTAGTGGCACACAATTACTGCTACTTTATGCTTCTTGAACAATTTTTGCTTGGCCATTTTT